TTAGGATGGTATATGCTAGTGACCGGTTAGGTCGGTATCCTGCTTAGAGTATGTCATGTTATGTGATCTGCTAGATCAGTTTGATTGGATGTGAATTGTTATATGATTGTATGTTTATGTGCACATGGTTGTTTGATTGGGGTTGGGTTGAGGCGGGTCCTACTTTGTGCTGTAGGCTAACATACCCAGGGCAGACCGGTTGTCTCGAAGGCCTAGCAAGCGGTCCGGATAGGCTGTAGGCCCCACGAGGGCGGACCAGACGTACCGAGGCTCGGAGAATGGACTAGGCCGAATGAAGGCCCGGTGCGGGCGGACCAGTCATATTGTAGACTCGGAGGGTGGACCAGGTGAACTAAAGGCCCTGTGCAGCGGACCAGTCACACAGTAAACCCGAAGTGCATGGCTGTTCTGTGTTCTGTTCGGTTATGATATGTTATGCGTGGTATATGTGGTTGTTATTTTGGGGGTATCTCACTAAGCTTTCGGGCTTACAGTTGTGGTTTAATGTTTTTCAGGTTCTTCAGGAGACCGTGGTAAGGAAAAGGCGTGATCGTACCGCTCCTCATGATTATGTTTTATGATGTGGTTCTGGGAAGACTCTGATAATAATTGGTTGAAATTTTATGGTCGTTACATCTAGAGAGAGACTAGTGAGAGAAAGTGTTTAGAGAGAGAGAGAAAAAGCTTCAAAATGATGTCACTCAATCCTTTATATAGGGGTTGAGTTTATGACCTGGTGGAATTCTACACGATACTGCCGTTAGATGGTGCTTTTGGTCGTACTCGATAAATTGTCGTAATCACGAGTTATATGAAACTAATAATTTTCCAAATAAATATGGAAAATATTTTAATGTTTATAACGCATCCCAACACTTATGAAATCGAATTAAAAGTCGTGATTAAATTAATTTAGCTCTAAGGTTAACGGAAAAATTTGAATACGAACGGTTTTATTTATCGGGAACGGTTTAAAGTGACGGAATAAACTACGGGTTGTCACATCATATTATTTAATTAGTATCGATCAAGAATTAATTTGGAACTAATTTACTGATCAGAAGAGACTAATTAAATTAACAGGGATTGATTATGTAAATCAGTGATATATATATATATATATATATATATATATATATATATATATATATATATATATATATATATATATATATATATATATATATATAGTTTGGGCTATTGATCCATGTTAGACTAATTTTATGTAAGTTTATGTAAGAGTTAGCCCACATGAGATATGGATCATAACCTAAGTGTATGGATTAGGGTTTACCCACTATATAAATGTCATCCCTTAGCCAAAATCAGTTGCCAAAGTGTTATAGAAAGAGAGAAAACCGAATTTAGAGTGTCTGACCTCTTTCTCAAAGTCCTCCTTTGTTCATGGTGTTTGTGAACCATTTGAGGCATCACACTTGAGGTGATAAGCTCTTGAAAGGCCAAAACTACAAGCTACAATTAAGAGGTATCCATCCAACTTGATTTTATGATTCATGTACCAAATTGTATTCTAGTTGTACGCTTTATTCTTTGGAAAATTTATTGCATGTATAACGTTAGAAAACTTAGATCCAAAGCTATTAGGGTTATATGTGCACCATAGGAGTATTATAGTACTTAAAACCCAACAGTGGTATCAGAGCCATGGGTAGTTTTATGTTATATTTGATGTTTGGTTATTTTTTCAAAGCTAAAAAAATCGATTTTCTGGCCTTCAACTAATGAACTCGCCGAGTCCACTGTTTGACTCGATGAGTCCACTCAGTAAAAGGGCAACTCGACGAGTCATGTTCATGCACTCGCCGAGTAGAGCCTTTTGGTTGCAGAATTTCGAGTTTTTGGCTAGAGTTAGATTAGGATTATTACCACAAGCAATTTTGTAATCATAAAATCTTATTTTTTCTGATATGGTAATGATTATACTCATCCAATGAAAAGATAATCGTCAAATTTTTAAGATAAGTGTTGGTTATATGATAAACAAAGTTACTTGTAAATTGTTTATATGAATTATCTTGCCTTATGAGTTAGATTAGATCAATCCTATATTATACGATAATTCTATTTGTTAAAATTGATCTAAATGTTTTTTAATGACTTCCATAACTTGTCCTAAGTTATGGAACATGAAAAGTCTCATCCATTAAAATGAAATTAAACTCATAAGTTATGGAAATGAAAAGTTTTCAAGAGTTGAATTAGATCAATGTAGGAATAGATAATATGATATGATTTTTTTTATTAGTTTAGAATTTGATCTAAATTTTTGTTGAATAGTTTCATAATTTATCCACAAGTTATGGAACTTGAAAAGTATCTATTCATGAAACAAATTAACTCCTCAAGTTTGGAATTCAAAAGGTTTTCTAGAGTTACAAAACTTGCCCTCAAGTTTTGGTATTTGAAAAGTCTCAAATTATGAAACATTGAATTCTAAAACTCATGTAATTAAAATGTGCAACTCTTGGGTTCATAACTTAAAGATTAATTAAATAGTTTTAATTTTGAATTTTTATATTTAGAACCTTGATGTATTTGAATAGTTCAAATTGCACCTGATGGACTTTATTAAATTAATTTAAGTGTTAAATTAAAAGAAAAGATTAATAAATCCATAATAATAACATGGTTTAAGTTTAATTAAATCAAGAGTATAATTTATTAATAGATTAAACCATTAAGTATTTTAAAAGTTTAAAATACACCCTTATACTATATAAAATTAAAAGTTTAATATATTATATATGTATAAGTAAAAGGTCAATCTTACCATTAGTAGGCCTCATTCACAAAGCCGGTCAATAAGGGGGTATAAGGTTACTACTTATAAAATGGTGGTTTAATGGGTGCACTCTCACCCACCGCTTCCTTGACTGGTGGAGGGTCGTTAGCGGAATGGGTTTGACAGGACATTTAAATCCTCATTAAAATTATAATGAAACATAAAGTAACTAAACATTTTATAAATTCCCAATGTTACTTACACTACTAGAAAAATAGCCTTTTACGACGCGTGAACCATGACACGCAGTGATTTATGATACGCAAAGGATTTCAGACGCGCATTTTTGCGGGCCCTAAAATTAGTGTCTAAACAAAAATAAAATAAAAACACGGAGGGCACCTGCGTGTCGTCTATGACCGTCGCTTTATAAATTTTAATAGAACGCGCGCGTTCCATCCGGGGAAAATGAAATCCCAAAAACTTAAAATCCCCGCCTTCCTTTTTTTTCTCCCTCCACTTTAATTTCCTTAGTAGCTAGGGCTTTTTTTTTTCAAGAACTTGCCCCGATTATGCCCTCCTGTACTGCTCATTCTCTCTTCAACTTCCCTTTCTCTCCTTCTCACTTCGACAAACCCTTTCTCTTCTTCTCGGTTCTCGACGTCGATAGCTTCTCCCACCTCCGACGTTTCTCTTGGTGTTGGCGCCTCCCACCTCTGACCTCCGTCTAGCCCCGCCCCACCGTCCAATGCTTTCCAACGTCACCCAGCCGATGGAGCCTCTCATCTCGGGCAATCTCACCTCGCCTGCCCTTACCAGCAACATTAGGTCTGGTGACCTAGACCGAGAAAACTCAGAGCCTTTGGAGGAGTGGTGACACTACTCAAATCCCAGCGACGGAAGGAAACTCTCTATCACAGCAACAGAAAGTCGGAGACTGGAATGGGAGAAAGAGAAATAGAAATCAAGAAATCGACTTATACAGTCAATGGGGAAGAATCGATGATGCACGCAACATGTTTGATAAAATGCCTCATCCGCCATGGTCTTAATCTACAAGTCTCTCTCTCTCTCTCTCTCACTCTCTCTCTCTCTCTCTGTCTCTGTCTCTCTACCCCATACTGCTCGACAACCACCCAGGCACCCACCACCCTTCGTCTTCTCTCTGGTTCACCACACTTCTCCTTCCTATGTTTGTTAGATTCGTCATCTGATTGGCGAGTGTTCTGTAAAAAATGATTTTTCCGTTTCATATTTTATGGATACCTCAATCTTCCGTGATGATTATGAATGTAGTCATAGAGTACTCGCTCCACTATCATTTTCAATCATTTTAGGGCATGGAGAGGTAATTTTTCTAGTCGGGGAGGGTTTCAATTATATATCTACTATATCTATTTCTAACTTTTTTACAGAGGATCGTTATGATTTAGGTTTCAGTTTAGCTTCCGAGACACCCACATGATAAGTGCAGCTATTAAAGGCATAACTCCATTGAGTTATGAGTTTACTTATCTTGTATCCGTTGCTTTTAGTGTTTTTCAAGTTCTAGTTGTTGACAATTATCAATATTTTTTTATGTAACCCAATAAGTGTATTCCACCTGGCCGATAAATAATCCATCCAAAATTCAATCCCCCTTTTTTACCCGGGCTAATTCAGTAACCCAAGTACTCTGGGGACTGGGGGGTTCGCCACTGGAACAAAACTGTACGGACAATTCCAATCTCTCGTAAGTTTCGTTAATTTGAATATTTGATTTGTTGTGATGCGGTTAGATCTTAATTACACTCGGATGCTCGCTTAGAAATAGATAATTTTTACAATTCGATTCACCCTTAATCTGTCATTTCGTTTTTGAAATCATTGATCCATCGTGATTGGGCTTTATGTGAGCATCTTCGTTTTCTAGATTTGAACTTTGTGGAATATCTAATATTACGTTAGATTTGCCATTAATTCGATAATTGTTTGAAATTTCAATTAGGCTTAGCATTTTAGGGCATGACCGTTTGGAATCTGTGTTTCTGTTTGGTGTTTTGGTTTCGTTGCCTTTATTTGTTTCGTGTTTTCATGATGCATCTGAACTGTACTGGTTTTAGGTGTCTGATAATATACTGTACATATGAAGTGATATAGCTGTATTTTTCTTTAGCATGCCAGATGTGGCGTCTAATTTTATATCTAACTGTAACTTCTGTAATTGTGATTGATGATTTTGGGATTTTAGGCTTACCATCCGGGTTGATTACTAGATATGGGGGTTTACCTAAGCACACCTAAAATTGATAAAACATCCGATGATGGTGAGAATGAGAAACTGAGATATGGAGTCTCATCCATGCAAGGATGGCGCACATCAATGGAAGATGTTGTAAGTCCCTAGTATAGGCTACTTGTTAGTTATATAAGCTATTGTTCCTGTTTGGATTTTCTATATTCTAAAAAGGTATGATAGTTTAATGCTCTTGTAATCTTGTTGAATTTTCTCTATATCTCTCTATGATACAACTTTCAGTCAGCCTAAACATTGATCACTATAGTAATTAACCAAGATTTTATGTGTCAATATGAGGTGTTTGGTAGCATGCTGCTTTACTTGACTTGGACAACTCCACATCTTTCTTTGGCGTTTATGATGGCCATGGAGGTAAGCATATGGATATAGATTATATACACACATGTTTGTTTCTTCATATATAAGGTGTCCTCACTAAGCTTTTTTTTTATCTTTCAGGGCAGGCAGTCTCTAAGTTCTGTGCCAAGTATCTTCACCAGCAACTCCTGAAGCAGGAAGCTTATGCTGCTGGTGATATTGGAACTGCTGCCCATAAATCTTTTCTCAGGTTACTCTTCTATGTTATCTATTCACACTAACCAAATACATGGCTGTTTTGTCTTGTCTGTTATCTGAAGAAATTGGTATCATTATGCATAATGGATGAGATGATGTGTGGACAACGTGGCTGGAGAGAGTTGGCTATATTGGGAAATAAAATGGATCAATTCAGTGGCATGATAGAGGGACTAATTTGGTCACCAAAGGGTAACGATTTAAAAGGTCTAAATGATAATTGGTCTACTGATATTGGGAAATAAAATGGATCAATTCAGTGGCTTGTTAAGCTCTTTCAATCTGTTGGGACATACAACACCTATCCAGGCTGGATCCCTTCTACTTCTGGGCCCATTTCTTGATTACTGGTTAACAGAAAAGAGAGTCAACATGTTTAAATATGATATTTCCTCTATGGTGAGTAAGAGTATATTTATACAACTATAAACCAGTAATTGTTAACAGAATCATGGTTTTATCTGTGTAGGATTTCTTGGTGTTATTGATAGAGGATAAGGAATTGGTCGAAAATCCTATGATTGATGCTTGGTTGCTGAAGAATAGAAAAAGTCCCTGGGTTGGGAAGAAAGAAGGGTTACAAGGATGTTGGATCTTTTATTGAACTCACTCCTGATGCATCTGAAGTGGTAAGTCTATTTGTTCCCTGGAGGATAATATTGTAATTGTTCTACTTGTTCTAAAGCTACATCCCTATCATATACACACAGTTAAATTTTACGAATTTATCCCAACCTAATACCCATACGCATATGTCCATTTTAACACACGCCTACATTCAACTATCTGCAATAGAAAACCATCATTTAGAATAACAAAAATATATTAAAATTTAAATATAAGTAAGCATATACCTGCAACCTAACTTCTAGAATAAATTTCAACTGTGTCTTGGGTTGGCATTACCTCTCACTAAGTTTTGCAAGCTGAAATTTTACCAGATGTTAATAAACCTAATAAAATACTAAAAAAAAATACTTTTTAGTTTTTAATATAATATTACCAAAAAAAATATTGGAATTCTAACTTACATGAACTGTTTGCATATGCAGTAAATCCGCAAGTGCTTTTTGCCTCGACTGTTAATGTGAAAAAAAGAATCAAAGTATTATGTATCAGAAACATAAATTTAAAAATATATAGAAAATTACAATTATGCCCTTGTATACTGATTGGTTAGTAGCCCAACGTTCATAATAGTGAGTATATCTCTCTAAAGAATTCTTTGCCATTTCACTTCTGTGTTCAGATTCATCATACTACAAATGGAAGTGGAATGAATTACAAGATTAAAGATTTGAGACTTTATTGAATTTAGAGTAAAATACAATTAGTTTTATTACATGATGTTTATAATTCATGCATGTTTACAGCTGCATTTGCAACCTTGTTCTAACAACAAACCCACATGTAGTATTTAATTGTTTATTTACGGTTGTGCCCCTGAACTATTATGTATTAACATCCATAAGCCTTTTGTTCTCATGTTAGTTAAGATTCATAAAGATACTTATGTTCTAGCTGAATATAAATAAGTCTTTCTAGTAGCCCCACCCTTATCCTTAGCAACATAATTAATTACATTAGCATCTAATGTAATTCGGTTCTGCTTACAGTAACGAGGAAGAAGCAAGCCATTGTATCTAGTAGTTTTGGAGGAAACGAGACTCAAGCAAAAAGCAAACACACGGAGAGTTGTTGGCAGATAGTAAGCTAGATAATGCAATTGTATATTCTGCTTCTCTTGAGTTCATTTTTTTATAACATTTACTCACTATTGGAATAATTATTTGTATTTGACATATTAGTGAAATGAATTATCTTTGTTATTTATGGTATTTTATTTGTATGACATTAAATTTTATGCAATGGATTGTATTTTTTGTATATGATATTTATTTTCTATTATGAGACATTAAATACAAATTTAATTTGAAAATTAGTAAATCTGTAAATATTTTTTTTAAACATTTAAATTTATGATACGCAAAAATGTGTGTCATCTTCATTTATGACATGGCCTTTCTTGACAGGGGCTTTCTTGATACGCATTGCGTGTCATTAACACGCGCGTCATAAGGTTACGACACGCGAATGCATGTCGTCTTCCTTTATGATAGGGCCTTCCTTGATACGCATTGCGTGTCGTAAACGCGCGTCGTAATTGCGCGTCGTAAATGAGCGTCATAAATGCGCGTCGTCTATAGACGACGCGCAAAAGCGCGTCGTCTCTCTTTATGACAGGGCCTTCCTTGACATGCATTTGCGCGTCGTCTGAGCCTTTTACGACGCGCAATGAGCGTCGTAAAAGGCTGTTTTTCTAGTAGTGTTACTTAGGAAAAATGTGAATTTGATGCTAACCCATGAAATTGCACATTGCACCTTATTAGCCGTTAGTGGAGCGTGTGTGGTTAACCGGTACACTAATCTGGGACTAATGAAGGATGTAAATGGATAGCTCGATGTTAATCATGGATCAATGGAGTGTGTGTGGTTAACTGACACATTGATTGGGTGATTTGGAACATTAAGTGTACCAAGCTAATTTGCATGGGTATTTACACCTTGTTTGTGATCCTCGACATCTCAGTCACAAACTTGAATGGCATAATCGAGATTTAAACATGTCATTGAAAAGTTCAATGAATCTCAAAAGAATCTAGGAATTTCAATTAATTTAAAACCTAATATTCATTTTCGTTTTTCATGGTGGAAATTGGTAAATCGTCATTACCTAACTTTAAATATTCTACAACTGGATTAAGACATCCCGCTTCCAAATTGTAGAATATTGTGTTGGGTCCTAGCCTTAATATTTCATTTTGGGTGTTATATTAAGGACTTAAATCAACTAACTTGAATTTCTCCCATTATAGATGTCTAGGTCAGATAACTATGGTTTTCCCAAATCTTTTGGAAAAACTTACCTTATAAAGATGATGTCCCATGATTGGATCGTGGAAATAGAAATCATACTTCACTTTCTCCACCTCCTCTAATAATTCTTCCTAACCCACAAGTTCAAAGACTTGAAAATTTCAAGGTCACTCAAGCCCTACTGGCAAGCAAACACCAAGATGGAAGGTCTGTGTGTGCACATGTCTTGTAGATGAAGTCACACATTGATAGGCTAGGAATGTTAGGAGTCGTTGTGTCAAGGAAGTTGGATGTTGACTTGGTTCTTCAATCACTTCCTAAGTCATATGGTGAGTTCGTTAAAGATTACTATATGAGAGATCGCGACATGTTCCTTATCGATCTTACCTATTTGCTAATTGCTACTGAATCAACAATGATTTGGCGCACTGGTAATGCAAATTTGATTGGAAGATCTACTTCCCAAACCTCCATGGACATTGGCAATGGAAACATTGGAAGTACAGAAAAGATTTCTCTTTCCAAGGGAAAGGGAACGGTAAAGGCTAAGTCTGAAATTGTCCCGTGTACCATTCCAAAAGAATCTATTTGTTTTTACTGCCAATAGAAGGGCCATTGGAAGCAAAGCTGCCCTGACGACCTAAGAGAGCTAAGAGATGATAGAATTAAATTGTATGGTTCTACTTCAGTCACATTTTGATGTTTTGTGGGATCAAAGGAAGCTTAAAGGAAAAGCATGTTGAGTCTGATCGCGAAGAGATGGATTTTGATCGCATAGTTCGATGATCGGATTGAGTTGCTACTTAAGAGTTATGATAGATTGCTTAGAAATATTTAGTAACATAGTTTTCATTTGTAATTGCATTGTAAGGAAAAGTTTTCCGTATGTTATAAATAAAGATTTTTTTTTTGAAATTTATCTTGTTTTATACATCCTTGCAATGGCATTTGTGAAAAATTGGTGGTTGTATGTTTCTAATTTTAGCAATATGGATTTGATTCTTTCGTTTGTGGTAGTGTCTAAATTTACAAAATAAGGAAAGATTCTCATCACCAAGTTTCAATTAGATAGAAACTTGAAATCATGCAACTTGTATTGTGTGATATATGAGAACCTTCGTCTTTAGGAAATTAAGAGTAATTCCTTGTTCACATGTATATGTGAGTCTAGTGAAGGACTGGGGGATCGGGTACACTTGGTTGTGCGCTGGTCAGGTTCACCACAAATAACGATAAGACTATTCGTCATGATTTACTAAATGCTTAGTAAATATGTTTATGCTTACAAGATTAAGTAATTCTAAATCATTGGAAAAGTTTCAATGAATAGTAGAATGAATAAGAAGAATGAAATTAGGCAGAAAGATAAAAGTTTATCCAATCTGAAAAGATGTGAGAGTACTTGAGCATCGTGTTTTATGATCATCCGTGTGATTATGAAACCATAACACAAACTGATCCTCTAAGAACATCTTAGTGCACTTATATGGCTAAGAAGAGGAATCATGAATTACTGAAATTGTTAAATCAAGAAGATGAGTCGTACTTCGTTCCAAGATCAAGTCTTAGAATCGTACTCCAAGATTGTACATTGAGTGACATAATCTTAAGAAAGGTTTATAAAACTTATCAAATGTATAGTAAAATGTTCCTTACTCTTGTACATTTGAAATTGGTAAGTTGTTATGTTTTGGATAAAACAAAGATCAACTAAGACCCATTTTCAGAAGTGTTTGTCTTCATAAGAAACCATACTAACTCTTGAATATTTGTTTTTCAAGTAATGTTTTCTTGATAAAGAGAATCTTATATGTCAAGAGGTCAGTTGGAGTCTTAAATATCTTGAAAAGTTTCAAGAACTAATCAAGAATAAACCTACTATTAATCACTAGCACACGACTTAAGGTGTGTAACCTATCGTGTTGACATATTCTTATTTCTGTGTCCATTCCAGTTGGTTGACTATGCATGTGAGTTCTATGAGTACTCAATTGTTTGCATAAGGCAAAGCACTTTGATCAGTGAAAGTTCATTAATCAATAAGGGTGAGCTGCTCAAAAACTTGGAAGACATGGTAGGCCCTCGTGCTACCAAGTGGCAAGAAATTAAGATTGAACAAGTTCAGTCCATATGAGTTTGGATTTGTCACTAACTTTCTCTTGTGATTATGGTTATGATAAATTCACATGGATAGGAACACATACACCATAAAATCTAAGTGTCATAAGGTTTCTCTCCAATTCATGAAAATGATTGTGAGGAAACGCTTTCACTAAGTAGATTTTAAAGAGGTAGCAATTATGATATTTGCATTCTCAAATTCAATTATGACTACGACATCCCTCTTCATAGTTCGAATTGTGAGAAATGGAAAAAGGTCTAAACATTTGAGACTTATTTCTATAAGTTCTAAAACTGTTTGAACACACATATGAGCTTTCTAATAAAAGGTGTATGAGCATAGATAAAGGCTTATCAAAGCATCTCATATCAGAAATCTAAACTTTGGTAAGAAAGTCAATAAAGTATTGATTTCTAGAAGTACGGCTGATTTTGGATACATGTCAAAGCTAATAGGAGCATAAAAGTTATGCTAGTAACAAAATATTGTTATGCTAGTGGGAGCATAATCATTATGCTCAGTGTTGCAAGTTAGCAATGTTAATTATAGAAAACAAAATTTTTAATTTGCAAAGTTGCAGAGTTTGAAAAGTTGTTTTGCTATAA